TCCCATCCGTACTCTTTGAGTCAACCCAAGTATGTTCCAGGGAACGTGCACCAGCTGGTCTGCAAGCACAGCCATTAAGTTTCTCACCCCAGCAAGCCAGGAATCATCCTCCCTTGACAGTTCCACGGCAGTGTGCATGTTGGGGGGTGCTGGAAGAGAGCCCAGTTCTTTGAGACACAGTAGCCTGAGGCAAATGCTCACCTGTTAAATGAAGGCGCTAGCACGGGTTTGTGCTTCGCGTCTTTCGACCTTACCAAGAAATCACACAAAGTAGCATCAGGCTTTATACACAGCCCAATAATTTCCTTTTGATCTTTGATCTGGTGAACAAACAGTTCTTTTTTTTCTAAGACACAGTTTCATGAAGCCCAGTTTGGCCTTAACTGGCTCTGTAGCTGAGGGTGAACTTGAACTTCTGCTCCTCCTGGCTCTACCTCCTTGAGTACTTGGATGACAGGCGTGCCAGGTTTATGTGGTACTAGAGAACAAACCCAGGGCTGCCTTGGCCAGCTGAGCTACATTCCCAGCCCCCAGAAGGCTCCATGAAATTAACTTGGAGACCCAATAGTAACAGAGTCACACAAAATAAAACCTCCACCTCTTTATGCTCCAAATGTCTTTTTGTGGTGGCACAAAGGCTGCCTTCTGATGTCTCTATCACATCAGAGACAAAACAGGTCATCAGGTCAGCCATCTTAGCTACATGTCATCTCTGTCACCACGGATGGGGAGAATCCCAAGGCCCTTCTTGGAGGTTGGGGGGAGGACAAGCCAGATGTCACTGCAGCTTCCTCCTCTAGGGTGCAGTCTGGCCCCCAGGCCCCCAGGACACCTGGGTGCTGGCCACAGTTATAAATCCCAAGTTTCACTGTAAGTGAAAAATAGGCACTTAGGTTTACTGACGACGGTTACTGACGATGATTGAGTGCCGGCCCTATGCATACAAACCATTTCCAGGCCGTAAGCATGTTATTTTGGCAAGTTCTATAAAATTGTGACCACATACATCCCAAGTACTAAAGGGATGCCGGTTTGTGTTCTGATCCCCTCAACTCCTCCTCTCCTCGTGGGTCTGGAGCTCACAAAATAGGCTAGGCTGGATGGCCAGAGAAGCCCAGGGATCTGCCTGTCTCTGCCTCCCTAATGCTGGGATTACCATCATGAACCAGCACACTTTTTTTTTTTTTTTTAATTTTTAATGTGGGTGCCAGGGATCAAACTCAGGTCCTCATGCTTGCAAGGCAAACACTTTAAGGACTGAGCTACTTCCCTAGTTCATTCCTGTTCTCGCTCTCTGTCTCTGTCTCTCTGTTTCTGTCTCTGTCTCTGTTTCTCTCTCTTTCCTTTTCAAGTCTGACTGCTGAAGGGGCCTGGGGCATCCACATTTAAATGTGAATGAGCACATTTAAGGCCAGGCCATGCCCCCCCCCCCCCAAATAACTAGATTCCTTCAAGAAATGGCTGGTTTCAGCAGCTGGCAAGGGAAGAGGGGACGAGTTTAACACCTTATACCCCAAAGAAAAATACCCAAAGAATAAAGGGAAGAACAGGGCAGAGATGCTTTATTTATTTTCTTCTGTAAATAGTCCACAAATAAATGAAGCAAGATAGGATGTGGCAACCCCCGTTTGGCAGTACCTACAGAATAAAATAGCCTAGAGGTGCTAGAGAGCTTTAGTCGTCAACTTGACACCGCGGTGGCCATGTCTGTGGGGATGTTTTCTTGATTGATGAGTGATGTGGGAGGGCCCAGCCCACTGTGGGTGGTGCCACCCCTGGGCAGGTGAGCCTGTGTTGTATAAGAAAGCAGGCTGAGCAGGGGCCAGGGGAGCAAGCCAGTAAGCAGCGTTCCTCAATGGCCTGTGCTCCAGCTCCTGCCTCCAGGTTCCCGCCCTGAGTTCCTACCTTGGGCTTCCTCGGTGATGAACTGTGACCCAGGAGATGTAAGCTAAACAAATGCTTTCCTCAAGTTGGCACTGGTCAGAGTGTTTTGTCACAGCAATTGAAAGCAAACTAGAACACTAGGCAATAGGTGTTAGCCAAAAACCACAGGACAAGGGATGGGATTTTAGTTTCAAAATACCTCCCATAAAATATGTCCTGACTGCCAAGGGGGACAGCAGAGAAGCTGGCAGCTGCTGCCTCAAAGATTAACACAGACACAGCAGTAACAGGGCAGCCGCACCCTAGGGCCCCATGGTTTGGATCTGAAACATCCTGCAAAGGCCATTGGGAGGTAACTTAATGCAGCCTTGGGGTTGAAGTGGGGTCAGAGCAGTTGCACCCCAGAAGGGGACTGCAGCATCCCCTTCCACTTGGTCATGAGGAGAGCATCTTTGCTGGCTACATGCTCCTGCCATGATGCTCTGCCTGGCCACAGGCCCACAGCAGTGGAGCCAGATGACCACTGACTGATAAAGTAAACCTTTCCTCCTTTAAGTTAGCTCGGGGTTTGTCAGTGACACAAAGCTAAGACAGGGCCTCACAGGGGATGGGGGTAGATGGCTAGTCACATGATCCCCAAATCAATGCAGTGGCAGGGACCTGGGAGGCTTTCCTTCAGAGCACTGTGTAACCCAGGGATGTCTTTTCTGAATGCCCTGCAAGAGCAGTACCTTCCCCTCCCCCCAGGTCCTTCCTATGCCCTAGAGCCATGATCACAAAAGGGAGGCACAACTTGGCCTCTGGCTGGAAGAAGCTTTAGACACTAGGGCATGGTTTTGCCCACACGGCACTTACAGCCTCAGTATGTGGTGAAGACTGAGGATGAGGCAGGGCAGCAACAAATCTAAACCCCAGAGAGCCAGTTACTCTTGAGAGAGGAAACATTCTCTAACTGAGCGCTAACACTGCTCAGCGTAGACTAGGGTGTGGTATGAAAAATGACGTCCTTGGTCTCTGGAGCAGCGTACCCAACAAACTTTGGGGTACATGTCCCCAAAAGAGATGTGTCCAGGGTACTATGAAGCTAAGGAAGGAGAGCGAGAGGCACTGGCTACTGACCCAATGGTGGAGGTCGCTCCCTCCCTCCAATGCCCTTTCTGTCGTCCTGGTGAGATACCGCAGCCAGGTATTATGGGAAAACAAGGAATTCTACCCTGGCATTATGGAGTCTCATCAAAATGGAAACCGCATTTAGGGAACGAGACTATCAAGGGCTACTGAAACCTGAAGGTGGGGTGCTGGGACGCCGTATTTATGCCCTCCTCCCCAGCTCACAATCACCTTTAAGGAAGGTGGTTTCAAAGTGTCCACTTGAACAGGAATTACCAAAGCAGCAAGCGCAGAAGACTGATTGTCTAGTCTTAATTTTCAGATACTTGTGGTGTCCAAGTGACTGCAGGTGTACACAACTTAATTTCACAAGCAACTGAGAACTGGAGGAAATCAGCATTTCCCAAGCTCCTCAGTGCTCACTGCCACCACCCTGCCAGTCCAGTGCTGCTGATCACCAAAGTGCAGGACACCAACGCTGCCAGGACTCAGAGCAAAATACAGTGCAATTTATTGACCCCCATCATTGTTGGTCACGATTTAAGCAAAGTAAACAACAGAAGTGGAAACAGTAAGCAATGGATTAACATGAGATATCCTAGTTTACTATGAATTTTCAGTCCAGAAAAGGTCATTTCTAAAAAAATGAAAGAGTTGAACAATTTATTCTGCAAAGGCATATGACGACAAAACTTGCACATAATTATAAAATCACTCGTTTGTTTTCTGTTAAACAAGTTCAGTGAAAATCTTGAGCGTTTTGGATTAAATCCAGTTACCAATGCTCACTTTTGGAGAACGAGCAGCATTAAAGAAGAGTGACTGTAAAGACTGGACAGCGTGAGGACTTGAGTGGGCCTCAATTAGTTTAAGGATTTACAGCAAAACACTTTGGTTCCCAAAGCCTGTCTCTGAGAGGAGTCTTTAAATATCAGACACTCGCTTCCCTCTTTCCTCTGGAAACTTAGCCCTGATTTAGTTTCCACCCCAGAAAAAAAGAAAACCAAAAGCAAACCCAGGTCTTTCCCAGCTGGAGCCCTCACGGAGGAGCACAGAAGAGGCGTTAAAACTTCTGCAAATACCAAATGATTTAAAGTGCTAACGTCACAAATAAGGAAAACCATTTAAACACTTTCGTTTTTGAGACAAGTTCTGACTATATGGTCTAGGCTCAACTGAGGTTTGACTATGTGGCCTAGGCTGGACTGAGGTCTGACTATGTGGCATAGGCTGGACTACTGATGTCTCACTATGTGGCATAGGCTGGACTGAAAGCCCTGGGCTCAGGTGACCCCTCTCATATAGCAAACAGCTCTGTGCTACCACACCTGGCTGAAAGCCCATTTTTAAAATTTAAAAAAGCTTCTTAGTGTTAAAGAACACTTAGTAAAGGATATACATTAGTATTACTTATGTCAATAATGCATTTCACATATATTGCAAAAAAACATCAAGACATGAGAAATTAACAAACTGACTTGGAATGTCCCAGTGATGGTTCATTAGATGAAATTTATAAAGAAGCCTGTTAGCAATGATACCTACTTGTTTTTGTACTAAGGAGGTACAAACACTTCAAGTTCCTGATTATGACTGTGTATGCACACAGGAAACCAGCTGCAGGGAACCCAGGTCAGCTTCAGTAGCACACCCCACCTGGGAGAGGCCATCTCACTCTCCAGTCATCAGTCTCATCAGCAACAAAGGAGGCTACAATGTAGATTAGGTGATGAGTAACTGACTGCTGGGCAGATCTTTCCCTAGGAAGGACACATTCTGAATCAGATTACACACCCACACAGACGCAAGCAACAGGTCAGCTGTATGCCTGGCAAAACTGTAAACGCATGCTAGCCAGTTTTCAAGGGGAATGCTATTAATTTGGAGATGTTAATACTAAATGCACATTTGTTACCTCCATTGCTTACACTGAGTGGTAAGAACACGTTTTAGGTTACCCCCTCCACCCCTTCCCCACATGAAGAAAACACGCCAATAACAAGCTCTCAGATTAACAAAGAATATATTAAAACATTTTACATTCTTTCCACAACTCCATAAAAAAGCAGGCATCTTAAATACTTACAAGAAATAATGAGCTTTCTACACTTGCAAAACTTAATTACAATCAGAAAAACATTTACAAGAATATTTTTACTATCTAAAGATTTGCAACAGTGAAAGATCAATTTATTTAACACCAAATATTTGCCTGCTGGCTGAGATAAACATTCTTTAAAAGCTGTTTACTGAATAAAGTGAGTAACGTCTCTCATTATTTAACATTTAAAATAGTTATGTAAGTGGAAGCATATTTAGTTTTTGACACCAAAATAAACTCTTTCAGCCTGACGCCTTTAAGATACAGTATAAAACGCAATAGAAAAGCCAGAGCTGCATTATAAATGTTTTTGGTTCAAAATTTTATTTGAAATCTTATGTTTCTTGCCTAGACAAAAAAGGTGAACAAGACAAAACACTGGTAATTCTTAAAACCTAACAGATATGCAGAGCCTATATTTAGATCAAAAATATCTTTTCTGATTAACAACGTTATTTTATAAATCTTCAAAAATGTATCATAAAGGTTCAAGTCCTGGGACACTTAACGTGCAAGGCCAGGCTTCTGGGATTACCTGTTACTCCAGTCACCAGGGAGGGGAGCACTCAGGGACACTGTCTTAAAGCTCCGAGGCGTTCAGCGGAAGAACACCTCACTCACGACCCTGCACACGGCATGAATTCCATAAGCAAGACCAAACCTGATGTCCCTCACTCTAGAGGGTGTCTGCTGTCAGTTCATCTCTAAATGCATAGTTCAAGAAAACAGCACGGCAAGCACCAAGAACTGCAACCTAACTTTATTCCCTTCTCCGCCAAATGGAAGAAACACAATAGGAAATGCTAAAATAATGAGGGATTTTTTTGACAACTTTTTTTCAAGTGAAAGGATAAAAGGCTAAATTTCAGAGTTTCTGTAAGATACAAAGTCAATTAGTATTTTATAAAAATGCTGTTTCAATAGAGAATGCCTTTGTTACTGTGGGTGTGGAATGTTGGTCATCAGAGTGGTAGGAAGGCATTTCTGCTGGAGCATTCATTTAAATGATTCTCAATCAGTTCTGATTTTGAAACGTGGAATACCACATTTTAGCATACCTGGAAACTCAATCATCATGTCATGGCCAGCTTAAGAGGAATTTGGAGTTCCGAAACATTTTCCTTATATCTCTATAACCCTTTCCCTCACAAGTGAAATCAGTTTTTGAAATATATGCCACTGAACTTTGGATCACACTTACTGAAAGGCTTTAATTACAATTTACAAGAAACGGGAGAAAAGGAGCCCAAACCCTATGCACCAAAATAAGTAGCAAAACTTAAGTCTGGACCCTTCCTTGCTCTTGAACACACATCTGAGTATCAGGCAGTGACTCTACTCACACCAGTCTCTCCACCTCGAATCCCAACACACCCAGGGATGTCTTCAGAGACAAGCAGAGACTGTGGTGTCCGGCTGCTGGGAGGCACGTGGAAGCTGCAGGTGGCACTTCCTCCCTGTTCTCAAGTCCCTGGAGGAATGGTGGTCTAGGCTGTGGTGCAGCTCTGAGGCCTTCAGCAGGGGGTCTAGCTCACTGCCTTCCCACCCCTGCTGCTGCACTTAGCCCTGTCTGTCCCAACCACACTATGCTGTTCGAGCCGGGACACCCAAATCAGAGGAGACTGAGTACTGACAGTTCTCAAATGCCAGTCGGAGGCCATGCTGTGGTGCAGCCCACACACCACGCTGCAGCACAGAGGCTATTAGGACAGAGCTCCTGGCTACTGAGAGCTCTCCCCCAAACCACACGCTCATGTCTCCTCCACATTCCTTAGCAGTGGCCATCACTGATAACACAAAGTGACCCAGAACTTGTTAGAAAAATCTACGTGTGGCTATTGCTGATTTAAATTCTCACAATTTTCATAAAAAAAGATTTATATGACCACAAAACACCAAATATTTGTCTTTATCAAGTGTCAGGATAACTTATTGAAGCTGAGGTTTCTCTTCTTATTGCTAAGGTACCCTAAGATCTAGCACAACACTGAAAGCTGCCCACTTCCACCTACCTTTTTGGCCTTAAGAACATGGCTGGGACTTAGGTGTGTGAAAAAATCGAAGAAAGGAACTCGACCACAGAGTCCACTAACAGAACTCAGGAGAAACAAACAAAACCTTGACTAAATGATTACACTGACACCTTGGGACCATGTAATGGTCAACATGAATCCGGTTTCAGTGGTAACCAGACCCCACCCTGCTGAGCTGCTGAACCGCACCACTTCAAAGTCTGCTTCTGAAGCTGAGACACTCCTAGCCAGTACTGGTTCACTCAAACTGAAATTCAAGCATAAATTTCCAACCTTTATTATTCTTTTTTAAAAAATATTCTGTCTTAGGACACAGTTCACAGGCTGTGGGCCTGCTGTTTCTTGAAACGTTAGAAGAGTGGGTCCTTTAATTGTGTGTCTGTTCGTGACTCCAGAGACTGAAGGCGGTCTTGAATGTCCTATGGCAGAGTTTGCACATAAACTGTCTTTTAAATGTGATCGCAGAAAGGGGAGGGGCATGGTAGAAGAGGGTGTCTGACTCCTGGGGTGCGAACAGTTTGTCTGGAGCCGGGGTGGGATTCTCAGGCAGGCCTGTGGGGCTGTCGGGCTCCAGGGGCTGGATCTTGGGCAAGGGTGGTGGTGGAGGCAGGGGAGGGGGGGAGGGGGAGTTTGTGGGCACAGGACCCGCCTCCGCCTCTTTCTGAGCAGGCTCCTCTGTGGCCTGAGACATGTGGGACTGGAAGTGACTCCAGAGCCGGAAGTTGGTGCGGAAGGCTTTGTGGCACACGTGGCAGATGAAGGGCTTCACGGAGCACAGCAGCTCCTGGTGCCGCTCCAGCTGCTTGTGCGCCGTGAACATCTTCCCGCATTTCTCGCAGGGCCACAGGCCGGCCTCCTTGCTGGGGGCGGCCTCCTTGGAAGCCACACTGGCCTCGGGCGCCTCCTCCTCAGCCTCCTCCGCGGGCTCCTCTTTGACATGGATCCTGAGCTGCTTTGAAAGGCTCAGGTCTTCCGGCAGGCAGGAGTCCTCAGAATCGAAGTTCACTTGCTCCGAAGAGTCGCTGCACACGGTGTCCTCCTTTGGCGTGGCCACGTGGTTGATCTTACTGGGCTCCACCTGGGCCTGGGGCCTGGACGTGGCTGCAGCCTCGCCGTTGTGGTCCAGGGTGGGCAGGGAGACGTTCTCGGCCGGGGCCATGTTGTTCTGGTTGTGCACTTCGACCTGGTGCCGCCAGATGCTGAAGGAGGACTTGAAGGTGCGCATGCACTCCAGGCAGGTCAGCTTCCGGTACTCACAGCTGTCCTCGTGCTCCCGCTTCAGCGCCGGGGAGAAGAACCTGAGGCTGCAGTAAGGGCAAACGGTGGCGTTCCGGCACAGGCGCTCGTGGCTGCCTTGCTCTAGAAGAGAAGAGAGCTTAGCATTACAGAGGCGGCACGGGTACAGCGCCTTGCTTTCTACCGCGCTGGCCAGAGGAGCCCGCTCTTTTGGCTTAGCGACTTTATTTACTCCGAGGGGTCTCTCTCCTGGGTGCATTTTTATGTGCTGCTTAAACTGAGAGAGAAAGCGGTACGCCTTTCCACAATAAGCACAAATGTAGGCCCCTTTGGCTCGGGAGCGCAAGTTCCTCTTGATGACTTGCTGTGCTGGGGAGCTACTCTGGCCCTGGAAGCCAGGCTTGCTGCGCCTCAGCTTAATCATCAGGGCCTTCTTAATCTCCCTCTCTCTCACTATGTCAATCAGCTTTCTCTGGAATTTCTCATCCAAAACTGCATGGGAACTAGAGGCTGGCGATGGGTTCTTCACTATGCCGTGTTGGGTCTGACAATGTGTCCACACTTTGAAGTTGGTATGGAACCTCTTGTGACAGATGTCACAAGCGTAGGGCTTCTCTGGGTTATGGTACATGTTAACATGGCGGTGAAGACCCGCGGTTGATCTAAAGATCTTAAGGCAATGTTTGCATTTAAATTTTTTGTTTGGTCTCGGCCCCTCCAACTCACCAAATTCCTCTTTGTTTAAGTCAGAATCTGGGAAGTTGCTGTCAGGGGGAGGACTCGTGACCTCACAGTTCTCCGAGGCAGGAGGCCCGTGCTCATCCGCCCTTGCCTTCTTAAAGGGTGACCTTCTGTCTGCCTGGAACCTCCTCTTGGCGGGGAGTCTGCTCATGTCCTTCTGGTCCTCCTCCGTCTTCAGAGGCAGGTCTCTTGTAGCCGCTGCTGCATCTCCCACGGTGACCCGAATGATGTCAGAGGGGTCTGACAGTGGGCTGCTGGGCTCTGTCTTAATGCACACCTCAGTCACAGGGGAGGGCTCCTCCCTGTCTGTGGACTGAGAAGCGCTGAAGGACCTGAGGCGATGTGGCTGTAGCACTGGAACCCTGTCATCGAGGGCTGGTTTCTCACTAGCATCTTTCAAGGCTGACTTCTGAGACACTGCACAGAACACAGTTCCTGGTGCATCGTTAGCCACAGGGGATGATCCCTGGGAGGGCTTCAGATCTACGGAGGAGGAGTACACAGGAACCTGGCTGTCCACAGACAGCGACCGCCTGAGGAGACTCTTCACTAGCGGGCCACTTCTGTCAATGCTCTGATTTGCAGAAGCAGGTCCACTGGACGGGACCACTAAGCCCAGCTTGGAATAGTACAACAAGTTCCTGTCCTCCCCTTGACCACTTCCTTTGCTAGTTTCCTTTAAGAGATAAGGAGTCTCTGACGAGCTACGAAGGGACAGAACAGGTGGCCGTGGTCTCTTGAGAGCGAGCTCTATCGCTCTCCCCTTTGGAAGCTGGCTGCTCAGCCCTGGCTTATCATCTGTGGCCTCTCTGTCCTGTGGAGGCTTTGAGGGCAGGGCTGCATTTCTCTTTACCAAACTGCTCCTGCTAGGATCATCCAAAGCCACAGGATGCTCCAGGGCCTTTGCATACACTGCAGCACTGTCTTTTGGCCAGCTCTTTTCAGGCAAGGACAGGCTGTGGTGCAGCTCTGCTGGCTTGGCCACCTGTGGCTTGCTGGAGCTGGTCTTGACTGTGATGCTCTGTGAGGGCCGGACAGCATGGCTGAGGTCAGGTGCAGCAGGCCCGCTGGCCTTCCCCTGCCCTTCGCTTCTGCTCTGACACACGATGACGCTTCGCTTCTGAGAGCTGGTCTCATCATCCTCCACTGGCACTCTCTTCCTGCTGGGACATGCCGGAAAGGGGGCCTGTGGGGCTTTGGCAACAATGTTGGTCAAGAAGGAGATGCCGAGGCTATAGCCCAGCTCCTGCACAGCAGCAAGGCTGCCCTTCTCCACAAACAGGGAGGAGGAATAGATGTAGTTCAGCACATTATCGAAAGCATCTGGCTCACAGAAGTCCAGCTGAAAGACAGTCTGCGATTCGTTTTCCTTATTCGTGAACAAACTCTGGAAGTACTCGCTGCTGGCAGCCAAGACGTTCTTATGGGCTCGGAACTTCTGGTCCCCCACAATCAGGAGCACATCACACAGCTGTCCCTTGAGGCGCTCCTCGTTGAGGGCACTGAGCAGAGAGATGGCATGCGCTGGGTTGATGTAGTGCAGCAGGCTCTCCATCGTGGCACTCATCTGGAAGAGAGGTGAGACGGTCACACACCACGGTGGATATGCACATCCCCAACATGTACACCACTACCAACTGCCCTCCAGTGGGAGAGGCCCACCACCAAGGGCAGAAAGCTCACGGTGGCAGCCAGCAGATGACCTTGGGGGCTCCCTAAACAACATGGAAGATACAAAAGATGTCTTGTGGCTATGAAAATTGTATTCCATTGAGGGGCTGTTGGAGCTTGGCAGGTACTTGAAGATGGATTATCTAGGATCCTTACCCATTTGATGTTTGGTTATATTTCTCCATTACCAGAGTATGAATCGTCTGCAATTCTACATCTATATATCCTTAGGTTTTATTGGATATATACTTAAATGCAATATGAACACTCACAATGGGTTGCAGACTTTGGGAAAGAGAATACTTACTAGCTAATTACTATGCCAAAGTGGTCAATAAAAAGGATTAGAGTGTAAAAAGGCTTTCTTTCTTGTGCCGACTGAGATTTAACAGGATTTCCTTATGAAATACCATTTCCAACAGGAGCAGAGCTTTAGCCTGGCTGTAAAGTGTAGTTACGGGTTTACTCTGCAGTGGGCAAGTGTGAGCTCTGCAGCCAGATGCTTGGCTGAAGTGCCAGCTCCTCCCCGTGAGCTGATGACCCTGGCAGGCCTGCAGGCCTCTGTGTACGGGTCTGTCTGTGATGTGGGGTAACAATTTAGCCCTCTTGCAGAGGTGTGGCAAAGATTAGAAGAGCTAGCATCTAAAACATAGCAAGCACTCAGCAAATGTGCAGGTAACTCTCAGGATTGCAGGATGAACAGTATTTAAAAGGAAAAGACCCTGGTTAACCCCCTTCACACCCTATTAGTGAAGGCAGAGCTGATGCCTGGCCCTCTGCTCTGCCCTCTGGGTAGGCTCTGTTCCACCGCACCTCCTTCCTATGCCGTTAGTAAAGGCAAAGCTGATATCTTGGCCCTCTGTGCTGCCCTCTGGACCGGCACCTCCTCTTTTTGATTTTATTGCTTAAAAATAAGAAAATATTGCTGGGCCGATCTTTTTTGTCTTTTGGAGACAGGGTCTCCCTGTAGCCCCAGCCGACCTGGAACTTGCCATGGCGACGAGGCTGGCTTCAAATTCACTGAGATCCACCTGCCTCTGCCTCCCATGTGCTGGGATTAAAGGTGTGCACCACCATGCCTGGCCCAATCTAATTTTTAAAGATTTTACATATATGAGTGTTTGCCTGTACGTTATTATGTGTACCGTGTGCATGCAATGCCCACAGAAGCCAGAAGAAGGGTCCAGATCCCCTGGAACTGGAGTTACAGATGGTTTTGAGTTGTCGTGTGGGTGCTGAGAACTGAACCTGGGTCCTCTGCCAGAGCAGCCCTTAACCCCTGAGTCATCTTCTCCAGCACCTCCACTCCAATCTAATTTTTAAGAGTTTAAATTTTATTTTTAAAAGATTTTAAATAAAATTAATTTTTTTTGTCTTTTTTCTGTGTATGAGTGTACTGTCTGCATTTAAGTAACTGCACCTGTGTCATGCAGTGCCTAAGGAGGTCAGAAGAGGGCATCAGATTCCCCTGGAACTGGAGTTGCAGATAGCTGTTAGCAGCCATGTGGGTGCTGGGAACTGAATTCTGCAATGCAATGCTCTTAACTGCTGAGCCATCCCTCCCAGCCCTGGTTTGGTTTTATAATGCTGTCTTCTATTAAAAATACTACTATGGAACTGGGATGTAGCTTAGTGGTGAAGCACTTGCCTAGCATGTATAAGGCCCTAGATTCTATCACCATCACCACAGTAGGGGGGTGTGTGTGACATTCTTCCTATCAGAAGGGATACACAGTAACTAGGAACATATGTGACAGTCTTACCACCCTGGAGAGGGGATGCTGTAGAGAACCACAGCCAGCTCCAGCAGCAGGTCTAAAGCTCCCACCTCCCCAGCCGGGGTCAACCTTTGGTGGTTACTGGAGGACCAGGCTCAGAGAGAAGAGTGTTTGAAGCAGAGACTGGGGGCATGGCTCTGTTGCTAGATGATGCCTTCAGCTGGGCCACAAGCCAGTGCTCACCAGGTTTCCTTCTACTTCTGCCTGTCTTTCACACAGGGGATAATGTAACTATTTTAATTTGTAAGGGCCATTTGGCTGAGATAGCTTTCCTTCTGTTAGCCAATCAGATGTCGCCCTAACTCACAGTATACTTTAAGAGCACAAATCTGTGTACAGAAACACTTTAATAGGTCAGCAACAGAAGAAATGAACCAGAGGTGCTGTAGGCACGGACTCATCGTGTCCTGAGTCTGCAGCTCTGAGAGCTTGGGAAGACGCTGACGCGGAGAAACAGCAGGGCAGAAGCAAAGGCTGATGTGTGTTTGTCAAATGGGTTTTGGAGGGACTGGAGAGATGGCCCAGCAGTGAAGAGCACTGGCTGCTCTTGCAGAGGACCTGGGTTCAGTTCCCAGCACCCACATGGTGTCTAACAACCACCTGTAACTCCAGTTCCAGGGGCTCTGACACCCTGTTCTGGCCTGTGTGGGCACTATACAACATAGGTGCACTTAAATACATTCAGGCAGAACACTCATACACGTAAAAATAAATTAAAAAAAAAAAATCAAGTGGGTTTTTAAACCAAATTCAGCGGTTTTGAAACCAGCAATTAAGGAGCCAAGATTGAGCGGAGCGTCAGGAGCGTCAGGAGCCAGACAGGACTCGGGAGGCCGAGCCCAGTAAGACACGTGGTGCCTCCAAGCATGTGTGTGGTTGAGCTGAAAAAGCATTCTTCCTGGGGGGTCAGAGTGAAGAGAGTTCTAGGCTAGTCAGTCACTCTGTCACTCTGAGCCACCCACCCACCACCCACCCAGCCCATACTCAGATTGTATCTGAGAAGACTCAAAGGAGCAGGACAGGAGCCTGGCGATTATGAAGGAAGACAGCACAGAGAGGGAAGAACCAAGGTGAGTAGAGCTGGAGCCATGACAGGATCACATCAGGAGATAGTCTGTCAGGCTGGCTGGGCCATGAGGGGAATTTTTTACTATGTAGGAAATGGGCAGTCATTGGGAGACTATGAAGAAATCTGAGTTATGTCTTAATTATAGCAGCTCTGGCTATGCTGTGGGTAACAAGGCCACAAAGCACAGGACACAGGTGTCTACTGCCATCATGGCCTGGGCCAGGTGGTTAGCAGTGGATGCAAAGGCAGAGCCATCAGGTTCTCTGGTGAAGTGACTGGGACCACAAGAGATGTTGCAGATATCTCCAAGGCCCTGCCAGGACAGGTGGAAGATGGGTTTGGCAGAGAAATCAGGCCAGCTTCCCCCCCACCCCCCTGCTTTTTTTTGGTCTTTTTGAGACAGGGTCTCCCTGTAGCCCCAGCTGTCCTGGAACTATGTGGACCAGGCTGGCCTTGAATTCACTGAGATCCGCCTGCCTCTGCCCTCTCTCCTTTTTATGTGGGACTCTGTTCTGACACCCACAGGAAGTGACAACCTTTTAATACACCCTTTATGAGCATCTTTTCAGTTCCTCTCTGTGCTTTCCGGAATCACTGCCCAAACAGCCACATCTATACCTGTCTATCAGGCTCTGCTTCAGGGAGAATCTAAACCAAGATACTGAGACCACCTGAAACCACAGGTGCAAGCTAGCAGCCACTCAGAATGTGCCAGCACGCTACTAATCATAGAGATGTCAACATGGCAAGGACAAGACACCCAAATCGTAACCCAGATCAACCCAAGCATCTTCATCCTTATATTGCAGGGAATGAGGACTTCAGTGTGCGGCAAGCAGGCAGTTCTGGAACACAGAGCACTCTGGGCAGGAGCGTAAGAAAGTGAAGCACACAGTTAGAGGCACCAAGACAAGGACACCAGGAGTGAAGGGACAGAGAGGGACAGAGAAAGGGACCAAAATAGTCTCCGGTGTCACAGCTAAGGAGGTCGTGAGCTAAACTCTAGGACTGGCCCCAAAACTCAGAATAGTTCTGCAGGACATGTTTCTTTAGGGTCTAAACTAAAACTAAGCTCTGGGACACTGACACTTTGGGATGTTGAAGACTGCTCACATGACCTACCCAGGATCCTGGAAAGTGAGGCAGAGGCACACAATGTGAGCAGTCAGCTGAGTGCCCAACGTTTGGCTCTGGACTACACACCCCCACACCCCAGCATTGGACCTGGTCCTCGCTCTCCCCACGGTTTTCCTACTTGATGGCAGCAAGTTGGTCTGAGCTCAGTGTTACTTCCCATCACTCAGGGGTGAAAACAGACACCCAGGAACCGTCTAAGGCCTCCGGTTCCAAAGCCAGACTGGCTTAGGGAATCCCTCATGGAGTCAAGTCACCACTCTGGACCCCTCATCAGATCTCAGTCTCTCCCTCCAGTGTGAATTTGGTTCAAGGGCAGATTCCCTGCCTTAGCCAGCAGGAGGACTCCAGTGTAGCACAGTTCAGACTCGACTCTACCACAGATGTGCAGCCTCTCACAGCCTCTGCTGGTCTGTTCTGGCTACCCAGCAGCCATTGCACCTCCTACAGAGCCTCTCAGTGCTGCTTTGGAAGAATAGTTTGTGCACTGAGCACAGGCTGATGGCTGCAGGCACGTACCTACACACCTGATGCCAGGATGACTAGAAATTTTCTCCTTGGAATACGGTTCTCCACAAGAACAAAAGCAGCGACTGAATGGAGCTGACTGATCTCGGCTGTGGCCTGAAAACACAGTCCACTAGTACACCGACAGTCCTGGAACTGGCTGCCTTTGTCTTTCCTGGTCCAGAGGTTTTAACTTTTCCTCAAACCCCAAGTGCCACTATGTATTTTTATAGTAAGTTCCCTATTCAAGTGTCAGCCAGGCAGCTTCTGTTCTGGTTATGAAAGAAGCCTAAGGAGGGTGTTTCCACGAGCTCCTCATTTCCTGTCCTGCCTTTCATATGCATCCTTCACAAGCCAGATTAGGAAGAGAGGCCTTCAACAGCCCCCAACACACTTTAAGTATGTGTCATTAATCCAGTTTACTCACCAACCCTCTCCATGAGCAAGGCACAGTCAAAATGTAAATACAAGGGTGCTCAGACAGGCAAAGCTTCCGACTTCCAGAGACAAGGGAACAAAATATATGTAAGCATCCTGGGTGTGATGGCCAGTACGAGCCCTAGGGTTGTAGAGGGTGGTCAGGTGCCAAGTAATGTTTCAGTTGAAAGACTGAATGTTATAGCCATCCTCCGTCCTAGTTAAAATAGTATAAAACGCAAAACCTTAAAAACATGCAGACTCCTAAGCCTCTATAAACATCTGCTTTCGGGGCTGGGCGTGGTGGCACACGCCTTTAATCCCAGCATTGCAGAGGCAGGCGGATCTCTGTGAGTTCAAGGCCAGCCTGGTCTACATAGTGAGTTCTAGGACAGCGGGGGCGACAGAGAGACCCTGTTTCAAAAAGACTTAAAAAAAACCAAACAAACAAAAAAAACCATCTGCTTTCACACTACTTTTAAAATTCTTCCCCTTAGTTATCTACTGTGGACTTTTCCTGTTTCTGTTCCTGAGATACAACCTGCCCATCTGACCTCTGCCACCACCCAACCTGGAGTGTCTGGACCCCAACTAGCCCCTTTCCAGCTCAAGTTCCAACCCTTCCTCAAAAGTCAATCATGTTTGGAGATGAAGTCTTCACAGTTAAAATGTGTGTTAATTTAATGAAAGGGGCATCTTTAAAGAAAGAACACAGAAACAGAGGTGGGAAGAGCCTGGGGACACAGGGAGACGTGCCGGCAAGCCATCATGAGCCCAGGGGACAAGGCCAGCCAGCCACACCTTTGCCACTCACTTCCAGCCTCTGTAACTGAGAAAATAAAATTTCCAGGTTAAGGTTGCTGGGTCTGTTTGATTACTGCAGCCCAAACAAATGACTACTCCTTAGCTTACTTAGGCTTAGGATGAGTAAACACAACAGGGTCTGTGGTACACTCTGCAATGCCAGCACTTGGAAGGTTGAGGCAGGAGGATCGCAAGTTCAAGGCCAATCTGGGATGGATACACACACACACACACACACCTGGTCCCCAAAAAACAAAAAAGGAAGCAAGCACCTCCTGCCAGGCCCTCTGCCATGCAGGACAGGCACCACCTATAGTGTTTGCTCAGTACCATGCGCTAGCCTGTCGTCTCCCCAGGACTACAAGCTCCTTAAGGGCCAACACATTACAATTGTTTGGCACACCTCACAATGCCCAACTTGGTATCTTGCACAATAAATGTTTTTCTCTCTACTCTCTAATGAAATGCAGGAGTGGAAATTAGGCTTTTGCATGGCTTCCTCAAAGTGAAGCAGGCCCCACCAGCACTCCCTGCATTAGGACGCTTTCATTACTTCTGAGGAAGATCCCAAACTACAGACTAGCATGCACGACTCCTCACTGGTCTCCGTTCACCTCTGTACCGGTTAGCACTCCTCAGCTAATTTACAAGCTGTACATCCAGCTTCTTCTGCCTCCTACATAAGTATCTCTTCTCTTCTACTTGACTACTTTGTATAGGAAGATGGAGCTGCAGCTCCACCTCCTAAAGCTTGTGCTACATACAGCTAGCAGGCCTTCATGCTCCAGCAACCTCAGGATGACTCCAAGTGCCTGTATGTGGCTCCCTCGGGAAGACCTCCCAGACACACAGAATGGAAAAGCACGTTTTCACCCGTGAGTTCCTAACCCCCACCCAGCACAAGGCCTGGTAGCTGTCCAATGTGAGACAGAACTCAGGCTGGAGCTGCTCACCGACCGGTCTCCAGCACCTGCAGAGCCTAGCTCCGGGCATTTTCTCTCTCTCCTGATCCCTGGTGGCTGTAACAAGGGGACTCCATTTGTACCTCTGCTCAGACTTCCCGAGACTCCAGCCCTGAGGTGCCTCTGAACAGATCCAGCCCAGCAAATCCCACTCGTTCCTCGGACACTCGAGACCCCCACCACACTCCCTCACATGTCTTCACACATGCCTACTTAGATCGCTGTGTTGCCAGCCAGGTCTCCTCAGCAGAAAACTCCTTTCCTTTGCCCTTTGCCAAGTCTTTGCTACCTGTAAACCCAGCCCACAACCGGCTCCAGTACAGGGGCATCTTAAAACCGGCTTCTCCATTTACCTCCTCGTCTGGAGACTTGGCTGATAACCTAACCCCTCTTTCTAACTTTTCGCTTCCCCTTATCCGTGCACACGCCTAATATTCCCCACTACGTAATACTCTAAATTCCTCTAGAAAGGGCTTTTATTTTTCTCACGATGAAGCTCCCTGTGTTTTCAGTAATTCTACATTAAGTACACTAAATAAAAATACTATGCTCTTAAATACATAGGGCGAGTTCCTTTCAAGTAAGCCGAATTTCTCCTTTAACATCGCTATGTAGGGGGTCAAGTTAAACTTAAAGACTATTAATCACCAGAAGTGGAGGAGCATTTACTCATTTAAGAAATAATTTCCAATGAGAACTCTACCGCGGATTAACCTACTTTTTGTCCTCTTAAACAGGCAGGAGGAACATAAAACAAACCCGGGAACTGATGACTAAGGGTCATGCTGATGAACAATCACCGGACTATGCTGTAACACAGATGTCCGAGGACGCAGAGATGACGGCAGCTGCGGCTCATGCACAGAACTCGCGGGCCCTGGTGCGGGGCTGCTGCGTCCCCCCGCGCCGCCCCAGGGTCTACAGTCCCCCGCATCGGTGCTGCGATGTGCCGGGTTCCAGAACCCTGGGCCCCGGAGACGGCCGCGGCATAGCCCCGCGCGGCCCCTTGACTACAAGGCGCGGTCCCTGCAGATCGGCACCGGGGGATGCTCCGGCGAACCCAGCCCGGTGGGTGGGGAGACCCCGACCAGCTCCCGGGCTGCACACGGGTCTTCCGCGCTGCGTCCGGGGCGAGGAGGGGCCGCAGAGGGCGTGCATGGGGTCGGCGGACCGCCACGGCCGCGAGGTCCGGGCGTCCGCGGAGAGGCTGTCAAGCTCCGGTCGCGGCAGGTGCGGAGGTCCCGCAGCCGCTCGCCAGCTCCGCCGCGCACGCCCGGCCCAGACCCCCCACCCCTGAATCCAGGCCGGGAGCGCGCGCCCCGGTCCGCAGCGGCGTTTTAACGGCTCCGCGGAGCGCGCGCCCCGGCCGGACACAGCCGCTTCTCCAGACAACCCCGCCAGGGACCGCGGCGCAGCCGGCCCGAAGGCTGAGCATGCGCAGGAGCGCGGGCGAGGCCAAGTGCGGGCACCGAGCATGTGCGGTGTGAAGGCACAAGCGGCGACGTGGGAGTCTGCGCATGCTCGGTGAGCGCTGCGGCCCCGCGCACGCGCAGTAGCGCCGAGCGCCCGCAACCCGCTGGTGGAGGAAAAAGAGAGAAATCACCTCAGAGTTACGTCAGGAAAGGCCGCGTTTTGCGGGAACGCTGTCGCCCCCCACCGCGGCCCGACGTCCTCCGGGGCCGAGGGGCGTGACGGTTACTCACCGCTCTTCAGCCCCGGGGCAGCCGCCGAGCCCCTTTCCGCTCACACTCGGCTCGCGCGCGCCACAGCCGCCGCTGCCGCTGTGATTCCATCCATCTTGAATTTGACGTCATCCCACACCAGGGATGAGGTCATCGCAGGCAGCCCTCGTCACGTGCGTGGCGCGGGGATTGGGCGCCGGGCGCCGGGGGGCGGGGCGAGGGGGCTGCGCGGCGCGGGGG